CGACGACGACGACGACTACCACTGCCACTACATGAGCATCATCACCGTGCTACCACCTTCATCGTTGTTGCCATCGGTGCTGTCATACTCGTCCTAAGTCCTGGCCGCGGCGCTGGTTGAGGTACGCAGGCTGAAAGCCGCGGTTGGAGCGGCACAGGAAACCTTGACAGCTCCAGGCTCAGAAGCCACGGGATCTTCGAAGAACCATAAGAAGCGGAAGCTTGAAGAAGCCACAAGCACGACAAAGGGACGACGACAGTGACATCCGTCGTCACTCTAGGATGGAGTTCAAAACAAAGGCTTCACTATTTTGATGCTTCCATCCTCTCAATTCACGGAGAACTCGTATGTAAGGCAAGCATTTCTCTTGCAGAATTGGTCCTATGGTACTGCGAAGTAGGTCCAGAAGAGGCGTGGGACATTGGCGGATGCACCGTCGGCTATATTTGGAGGACGGATGCCGATGCCATGACTTCTGCATCCTGCGCCGCTTCTAGTCGCCAGAGCGAATAGACCAGTTTGTCAACAACTCGAGCATCTCTGCAGTATGTAGTGTAGTCCATACCCTGTATCATGCTGCATCCGAGCTGCAGGAAATCTCGCTGTTGCACTGAAAGGCTTTGCCATAGGTTGAAGATACGTTTCCTCAGTTCAGTTCAACTGAAGGTACCTTTAACCTTTGCAGTGATTTGAAAACGTGACGAAGCCCATAAAAGGCAACGCAGACTGCTCTTGCAGAAACCGAACATCTTCATCCACAGGATGAGGCACTCGTCTGCTGAAACCGCAGCGCGCCTCCGCACCGGCATGTCTGTAAGCTTTAGGGATATTCAGACATTCCCGGTTCTGTGCCGGTGTGAGGGGTTGCTACTACGACCTGCATGATGAAGGTTCAGATGGGGATTGAGGACAGAAAGCTAGCATCGGTTCGGAGCTACTCAGTTGGAGGACAGTCAACAGTATAGCCCGAAACCCTACCAGTAGCTAGCATTGGGCAGCAGATTTGGGCAGCAGATCTCCCAGCCTTGGATTTGGTTGTAGCGAAGCACCCGGCCCCAGTCGCCCCATTTGTCATTCGTCGTGTTCTTTGAGAGTGCGCGGCCGTACATGTCCTTAGGGTCTGCTGGGATAGCGCACACAGCACCTTGGAAAAAAAAAAAGTGTCCTCTGTTCATGAGGGACGCTGCTGCATAGCATGGTTACACAGGAACTCCGAGGCATAACAAAGCTGAAACAGCCTCTGGTCTCGTGTCTTGGGTCTTCCTGGATTTGCGCCCTGGTGCTCAACCTCAAGACAGTCCTCATCCAATTATCCCAAGTCGGGTTGGGCCAACCCTGGCTACTCCTAAATTCCCAACCCCTCTCTCCCTCTCAGCTCTGGGGTCAGCCCAGCTGAAGTTCTGCTGTGGCTCGGTCTGTTTGAAGAGCATCTCGGAGAAAGGACCCTGGATGGCATCCTCGGTCTTCTTGCTCAAACCCCAGCAGATCCCAGAAAATGTCCAAAAAGCACGGGGGGAGTTCCTGCTTTTGCTTTTCGGTTTCTCTGGTTCTGAGAGCTTACCGCCTCACAGTGTCCCCGGAAAAAGCTGTAATGACTTCCAGAAGCAGCGAGTGATCGACGAATGGAAACCCTTGACGGTTTAGGGTTTAGGGTTCAGGGCCAAGGGTTTAGGGCATCTTTGGCGGCCAAGACACCCACAGGGAGTCCATGTCCTGTCGAGGCATGTGCGTTATTATTAAAGAAAGACTGCGCCTGCCGGCATAGTGGGCATCTTTGACCATTTGAAGCGGCAAGGCTCATCTAGCCGTGACCGGGCCTCCACTTCACCGAAGATGTCGTCCATCTGCCCGCGAAGCTGCGACTCAATCATGTACACATCCGAGATGTCCTTTCCAGCATTCGCGCCCTTGCTCTCCCCTCCATCCAGCTACAGCACAGCAAGGTTGGGTAAGTGTCAGTACAACGCGATCTCCCTTTCTTCTGACCCCTGTCCTCGTGCAGCATGATAGACGTACAAAACCTTGCGCAAACCGGTCCAGTCTTTACTGCCAAAGCTACATCGAAAGCTTGCCGCTCCATCGTCACTATCAGTACATCGGACAGCCAGCTTGCACGTCGGGAGCTCATGAGGCCTCTTTGTGTGTGCCCACATGTGCCCAGATTGTGCCAGGTAGCAAGACAAAGTACACGAAGGCCAACGGCAGCATTAAGCAGCCCCTCAACTTCTCTTGCTGGCGTCTCGCCACGATCTTCATGGCCTTGCAAGGTGCCATTTAAACTACGGCTCAAGGCTTTCAGAGTTTAGGGTCTCCAAGGGTTCGGCTCTACAATCGAGCTCCTTTTTCTACCCCCTGCATCCTTCCGAGTACTCTTTAGAGCTTAAGCTTTAGAGCCACCCGGAATCCCGAAACTTGAGTACCTGGCCTGCGTCTCTGTTCCTTCATTCGCCGACATAAGCGTGCTGTACGTCAGCATGCTCCCGGCCATAAGCCTCGCAGCGGAGGATCTGAGTTCTAGACACGGAGATGTCGGAGACCCTACGACCGAAGCCGGCTCGAGCTCGAGCCTTCACAAACTCGGCGACTGTAAATGTCGCGTACTTCTGTTTGTACCGCTTAGTGCGTGACTTGCACCCTCGCGCACAGGTGACATGCGGCTGCTCGGAGGCTGTCTTTTCTCGAAGAAATTTGCCCGGGAGTGTCCTTCAGATCTCGGGTTCTCAGTTCCCGAAATCGTCATTCATTACCTAGGTTAAGTATCTCCAACTGCATCCTTGGGTTCACGCACTTAGGGTTTAAAGCTTCGGGGTTTAGGGTTTTGTTTATACACATGTTCGACCCATCCCTCCCACGGATCTCCCCGCGACACGAGGCATGCGACATGGCGAGACTCACTCTAGAGTTGGCAGCTTGAAACAAACACTACCTAGGCACATCCAAAGGTGTTCATACGAGTCCACCCTGCAGGACTTCCAGGGAGTTTAAGGCTTACTGTAGGGGGTTCCTCCCTCCCGAAACTCAAACCCTCGCCTGATCTCATCATCGAGATTTCGATTGCCCTTGGGCTTCTGCGCGGACTCCCAGACCTGCCGCTCCAGCTCCATGTTGGGTTTAGGGCCTAACCTTAACCCCTGAACCCTAAACCCTCAGGGATTCTATTCTAGAGTTACCAATAGGGACGTTTGGGAACAAGCTGGCAAACCCGTACCTGCCTCCGAATTGCTTAACTGGAACCAATACAAAACACTTATAGAGGTGTTTCAGCAAGACCGAACACAACCCACCCACAGCAGTATCTTTTGTTCGGCTTTTAAGGATAGGATAGTCGCGCAGGGAAGAAGACGAGGCATGCAGTTTCCGTACTGGATAGATACCACAACAAGAAGACACTTCCCTCAAATAACGGACCACACCGCATTAAGCCGTAACCCCCACGAACGCTATAGAGTCATAGCCCGGCTGGTGCGAGATCCCTCTTTCGAGAAGGCGCCGAAGCGCGCAAAACAAGTGCGCGCAGGGCCCTAGCAAAAAAAAACCTCAGGGATTAGGGTAGTTGTTGACGTTTAAGGCTCCGGGGCCACGAGGACGCGAAAGACCCCTAGCGATGGCTTCTGTACCCTCTCGGCGTGCCTTCGACATGGTTTGCAGGTGAAGGAATCGGAGAGCTTTCGGTGACACTGGCAGCTTTTGGCCCCGGAAGGTTATAGCAATGCAAGTTGCTACAAGTACGCAAAGAGCGCTTGAGTTGATGCTGCTTGGATCTCTGAAATAGTCTGTGTCTCCAAGAAGTTGAGCTTTGATGTGCAAAAAAAAAGTCACCAACACAAAGCCCCTGGCAGGCTTTGAGCCTCATCGATTGAGGTCGAGAAGTCTTCGAAAGTTCACAAGGACCCTTGCGGGGGGACGAGGTTTGGGGGCCTTGATGCCCCGAAGCAGGGCTTCGTATGAAGAGCGTTTCACGCTTTTTTCCCGGGCTCAGGCAGCTCTTTGCCTTCTGCCCGCTCACACCCTTCACTCCTGCCATGCTTCACGGAGCAGAAAAGTTTACGTTTTTAGGTTTACCTTATTGAGAAAGCTCGCTCGACAATCCTCCTCGTCGTCGAGCACTCGCTGTGTCTCTTCCTGCAACTTGTCCAGGTCACTCCGCTCGAAGAAAGATTCATCCTTGATTGAGCCCAGCTGGACAGCAGAAGCTGAGAAAGCTTAAAATTGCTTTCCTTCTTCGGTCTTTTCATGCATGATGGAGTGCATGACAACCACTCAGACAGCTTCTAATTCAGCCACCCGTAAACATATCGCATGCAGGGTCTTCTGCACCTCACCATCTTGAAAAACCGATGCCGAATGACAAGCACCTCCCAAAGCCCCACGGCCGAAGCCTTCGGACCCTTTGCCAGGCGGAGCTCTGTAGCGCAGCTACAAAGATCCGGGAACTCGTTTGGCCCGCGATCCTCGTCGATTCGGAGGCCTGCACATGGCCGCCACCCAAGCTTCCCTTGACTCAACTAAACCCTCCACACTGCTCTTTGGGAAATCTTCACACCTGCATCACTGCCATCCTCATAGTAGCCGGCGGCCATATCTGCAGACCACATGCAAAGGATCTGCTGGGGCTTCCTGTCGGAACAAAAGCAGAGCCCCCCCCCCCCTCAGCTCTCTCCCTGTTTCTCGTTTACTTGCACGCTTACTGGCATGCTGGGGGCTTGAGTTGGGAAGCTTCCGGCTCGCGCATGCCCCCATTCTCGCAAAAGTTTCCTCTCTCGTTTGAGGGTCGCACTAGCCAGTGAGAATCTCTGCCTGTCTCTCTCTGGCTCTCGATTGTTTTTCCACAGGGCATGGGGAGCGTCTTAAACCCCCTGGCCGCTAGGCCCCCCCCAAATTTTGGGGCTTTTTGAAGGGACCGTGAAAAGTATATGGATCTCTATCTCTCCCTTTCTCTCTCTGTTTGCGTTGGGCAGGAACAGCAGGGCTAAGCACAGGCAGTTTATTCTGGCTGGAGCGCACGGCTGGACGGAATATGCAGCACAGTGATACGGGCACATGGCAAATCAATTTCGCCAAACACTAGAGGAACACAATACTTCGACAACAAGGCAGCACTGCAGCACAGGGTAGACCGAGAGAGTAGCCGAGAGGCACGTGATGGATCGCCCAGGTCCGATTTGTCATCTTTGACCACAGGTTGTGGTGACAGCCTCAAGCCACTGTCAGATCATGGCGATGCGATGACCAACACGGATGCCCTTGAGTCGCTTGGCCATCATCACAGCTGTCTACGACTGCCGTTGCTATTGCGATTGCCTTGCATCCTTGACCGATATCTCTAGCAGTAGTCGAATCATTGCAAATTGAATATGGTACGTGTCCTTGTCATAGTAGTAGAAGTAGTAGAAGTAGAAGTAGTAGTAGCAGCAGCAGCAGCAGTAGCAGTAGCGGTAGCAGTAGCAGCAGCAGCGACAGCAGCAGTAGTCGTCGTCGTAGTCGTCGTCGCAGTAGTTGTCGTCGTCGTAGCAGCAGCAGGTAGTAGGTAATCGCGAGTAGGCAGTAGGTCGCAGGTAGTAGGTAGAAGGTAGTAGGTGGCAGGTAGCAGGGAGGAGGTAGTAGGTAGCAGGTCGCAGGTAGCAGGTA